GAAGAGTAGCGGAAGCGGGTTCCAATCTCACCGTAATCTTGAATACGTCTGTTTATTTATATTTATTTATTTATTGTTACGCACACAGTGGTTTATGTGCTCATTGCAAGGCTCGGCTAATGTGCCTTTGTCAAATCGATATATAGATAGCAAAAGATGGAGAATGGCAGCAAACACAAACAGCCTGGAACACGGTAGGATTCGATTGTAATGTTTTTTTCCTATTTTGAGCATTCTTTTCCTTTAATAGGACTGATAAAGAGGGTTTTGTAGACTGTGCACAAGTCTTCATATGCAAATATAACAATAAAAACGCATTTTGATTTACATGCATACTGACAATCATGTATTCAAAATAAAAATTGTCTTCTAAACTCTAGCAAAATTGTATAACAGCGATGTTCAATCAAAATAGAAAACTAGAGATGAGATAAACTTTTTTTATTCGATTTACTGCAATGTTAAATATGCTAGCATATAAATAAAAGATTATCACTACAAAATTAAGAATTAAAGGAATGGCGATAATTTTTTTTCCTAATAATTAATGTAAATATTTTTTGTGGTCAACTTAGAGTATCTCTGAAGTTAATAGTGGAATCAAAAAAGTTTACATCTTTGCTATAAACAGATTTTCTTGTAAGGATATTTAAGAAAACATTTTTATTTTTCTATTTTAAGCGGGGGAACATCAAAACAGCATACAAACATCAATGAGTATATTTTTTATGTTAATGAGTGTATTATATTATGCAACATAAATAGCTTAAATTTTATAAAATATAAACGGTTTTAAAATTATTTGATATTTTTTATTATGAAAATAACAGCGACGGTTTTTGCCCTTAAAAATACACTTGCACACAATTTAAATCAAATTTTTATTTTTATACAATGCACAATTATTTAAAAATGCTATAATTAAATCGTATTTCAGAAACCGAAAAGAACAGTATCTGCATGTTCAGAACTGTAAAGAGTCCTGCACTACCTCATTGGTGACTCTGAACAAATAGAATACGAAACTCTCATTCGTTCATAGATGGCAGAACCACAGAGTAGCTTAATACAAACTTATACTAGTATTTCTTATCTCTCATGATATATGACACCACCAGCTAAACTAATTAAGCCGCATTCCTCCGTTCATTTCACAAAACACAACTCAACAACAACTTAACTCTAATGTCCATTAAGTAAGGAAAAGCCTAACTCCAGTTAAATTTTATTCTTTTGATTTTGAAAACGTTTGCAACTGGTATGGTTAAATAATTATGAATACAAAACTATGCGGTTTTTAATTTACAATTTATTATAGACCGTAAAAATTTTTATTTATTGTTGTTAACCATATCAGTTGTAAACTCTTTCAAAATTGTAAAGTTAAAATATGTTCCTAACAGTAAATTTTACGGTTAATTGGTTAGCTATTTTACTGTAATTTTTGAATGAAAATTTTAACAGTGGAGGTTTTGTTAACGGTGCAAAAATTCTTTAAAAATTTTATTTGGCGAATTGTTATTAAATTGAGTTATATAAGATTAGTAAATAAATTAAATTCGCAATTAAGGAAAATAGAAATAAAACATTTTATATAAAAATTTTTGTCGTATACAAATTTATGTTCTTAAAATTTCTTGATGCATGTAATAAAAAATATAATACTATTTGGTACACTTTTTTTCGTTCTGCGTGCTCGTTTTATACATATTTCAGATTAGTTTTTGAAACTAATATGAAATCTTTTTTTCCCTGAGTATTAGTTTTGAAAGTAATGAAAATTTTTCCAAGCCTTTGCTTTGTCATCAAAACTTTTAATAACTACCTTAAACACAATTTGAATAAAATTTGTTAAAGACTTCGACTTTTTTATTATGGTTATGAATTTCAAACTGTTACTTGATTTTAAAAATCGTTGAAAATATCACGAGAATATGCGAAAGAATTGCTTACTTTCATACTTCATTTAGAATTTTCAAATAACATTTTTCTTAATATTCTACATTAAAGTTATTTCGATATTTAAAATTAAAATGATATTAAACTAGATGTTTTTACCTCATTAATTATTTATTAATTTTTTGTATACAAATTCGGGTTTTTTAAACTTTGACTATAAATATGTTATTTTGGACAAAATAATTTAAAATTCTCAAACAAATCTATTAAATTAAAAGAATAAAATATTTCAAAATAAATGACCAAAAATGCATATAAAATATAAAGAAAGAGTGATTATTTCAGTCATGCTACCTCCATTTAAGCCTCAATGCAGATTTATCGTTGTCATAAGTCATCCTTATTCGTAATAGTTAAGTATAGGTAAACCATACGGTAACATTTTTCTACAGAAAAAATTTATTATAAAAGCAATTTAATAATGTAATTACCTTATAGTCAAAATCTTCTTTAACAATATTTCTTTATAGACAGTTTTTCTCATAGTTCTTGATTCAAACTGATATACGTATTAAATATTTTTATTCAAGCGATTTTATTTATTTATTTTCTTCATTATTGTTTTCCTGTATGCAGTTCTAACTTTCTTAAACATTCTACAAACTTTGAATCTACTTCAAATCGGAAATAACTGAAAATTTTTTATGAATTTCATTAAACAAGAATGTCATGCAATAATCAATATCGTTTGACAATATCATTTTACAAAAGTCGTTTGACTAAAATTTATTTTATAATTATAATAATATGGAATAGAATGAAAAAAAAATCGAACATTACCAATTTGTGCAAAGAAAAATCATTAAAAATATCTCAGAGTATTTTTCTGGATATATAATTAAATTTAAATACATTAAAATTCACTAAAATCATATATATTAAAATCTGTTAAGAACATAGAAATCAAAGCAACTCATGAAGGCTGAAATTATTTCATAATTTGGCAACAGTTAATAAGCTTTACCATTACTTCTTTCTAGTTTTGTGTAGAAAGACTTGTAGTTTTCTTTGCTATTTAAAACCCATTACCACCATTTAAAAATATCTTAAGGCTGCTTCATACAAAATATTTGTAGTGTAAAAAGTACCTAGGCATGGTAAGTGAAATTTGCGATATTATTATCATTTATTATTCTATTAGTTTATCTTTTTTTCTTCAAAACTCTTTTTTAAAAATGTTCTTTTTCTAAATTTTATTAAAAGTGAGGTGTTCCAATGTTGTTTTTTCTTTAAAATGTATCGATACTGCTTTTAACATTTAAATTTATATTTGTATTTTTTAAGCTGTATCTCTTCACAAGCATATTTATTCATCAATTTAATATATATAATTAATTTTATATCCTTACTTTATAAGTATGGTATTCTTGTGTATGGAATTTTGAAGTTTATAAAAAAAATTTTGAAAATAGTTAGATAAATTTTTGTAAAAAAATACAAATGCTAAAATGGTTCATTTTTTTGCACTCTTTGTATTTAAAATACTGTATTACATTAAAACAAACATTGACAAAGCAACATTGGTGACAAACATCGGCGCAAAAAAAATTATAATTTCAATTAAAAATTATAATAAATTATTCATAAATTAATTATAATTCAATTATTAAATGGCAACTAAAGAATTATAATTAAATTATTAGCATTATTTTTGTAGTATGACATTTAGTTTTACTAATTTTATAAATATAATTAATAAATTAATGATGCATGTAAACCTATTGTAAAGAAATTTAATATATAAGGATATGAAAAACAAAAAATAAATTCCCTAATTTGTAGAAAAAATGCATAATGAGTTAGCCTTTATATTTGATTGAGATTAAATAAGCACTTTCAATATTTTTTTTAATGAAATCTTAATGCTTAATATTTTTTTTAATTTTCCATTACCTTTATTATTGATGTTAAAAATGAGAGATAAATAAAAATAATGATATAATTTACGCGGAGGTTTCATAGCTTTTTTCAGAGAAAATATTTTACAGAGAAATAATGTTTTATTTACTTACTTAAATCAATATTCCTTTAAATAATGCAGAATTTTTTTTCAATGCACTACTTACACTTATTATTTGACTCAATTAACTCAAATTTAGAAAATGTACACAACAGAACTTTAAAAAAAAATAATAATCTTGAACTCTATGACTACGTTCTGCAATTATTTTTATTTATTTGTTATTATTATTACTTCTTTGTACATAAAATGTCTTTAGTTCGTGCAGTGTAGCTCCTTTCATACATGCTTATTTATAGAGTAAAAAAACTTGAAACCGTATATTTGTGCGAATCTAGAAATATTTAGATAACTTAATAATATTTTTTTCAAAGAAAAACTTGAAATCTCTGAATGCATATCATAATGAGGTAATTATGGGATAAATGAGTATACTTTCACCTAAGTTTTATAGTTATGTATTTCTATATGAATAAAATATAATAAATTAAACAAATTTGTTCACTTGATTTAAAGTAAAGAACATACAATGAAGTTCTTATTACCAAGCCACACTAAAATTTATCATAATGATAGAAATTTTTTTCTAACATGGAAGTTAACAGTTCCAGTGTTAACTCTCAGAAATAGTAAATAATCTCAGAATAGTGATCGGAATGTTTGAATCCTGAAATATAATATCATGCAAATTCGCGTCATACTTAATGAGGTAATAAATTGAACAGCGTTTCGGTTCAAGTGAAATTGATTTAACATGGAATCAAATCTTATAAGTACAATAATATTTTCCAACTTAAAACTATATTAAAATTGAAACAAATTTGAAATTTATAGTGGTTTAACAAATTAAAAAAAATTAAAAGAGTTGTAACAAATCTGTTTCATTTGGGGGAAAAAATTTTCCGTTGATTTTGATATTTAGCAACAAAAAGAAATTCGGAAATAAATATTCAACAGTGTAGAAAACTTTTAAATTATCAAACTCCTATTGTATTTTAGAATACAAATTATTACTTTTAGTTGAAAACATTTTATATGCAATTAAAAGTGTATAAAATGGTAGAAAAGAATAATTTCCTACCTGTATCCACTGGAAATCTTCTCAACATGAACGTGGGTGTTTTCTTCCACTTTTGCGCCGTCCAAAGTGGATTTGGAATGTGCGTCCATAGATTGGTGACCAATCATAGTGTAGCCACCCACGCAATAAAATATCTTATTTATTCTATGGAAATGCCTTTAAAACAATTTTTGCTGCTTTAGAGCACTTTGACTATATCTCGTGTTCCTTTTCTATTTAGTGCAAGAAACATGTTAAAAGTTGATAAAGAAAATGCTTTACAATAAATGCGTAATATATTTTCCTCAAATATAGTATTCGGTATTTGCAAATTAGATATCATCAAGAAAATAACAAGCTTCTTTGATTACAGGAAAAATCCATTTATGTTCATCGTCCCTGTTTATTACTTAAAGCAATAACGAGTTTGAGTTTTCTGATAGATAGAATATATTCCAAAAATAGAATAACATTATTTACTTTTTAATATTTAATATTTCAAAAAATTTCGCATACTTTTTTGAACTTTTTTAAATTTATCTTTAGCTAGTAATAACAGTAATATTAAATCACTTAAGGAACTTCAAATAGTTCTTAACATTACAGTTTCTTTTTCGATTCTTTGCATTTTTTTATCTCCATATATACTATGCACATAAATATCGCTAAACATATAAACCAGAAAAAATAATAATCTAACAATTATCTACTAGATATAAATTGAAACATTTCTTTCTAAATACATATAAAGTAGAAGTAAGAATTATGTCTCAAAACAGATAAAATTTAGCAATATATTTTCAAACTGTTTTTTTTTCTCTAAACTTTTATAAGCATTCAGAAGTTCACTATTATAATAGAACAAATAGAAAAGACTGATGCATGTGTCTAGATATTTCTTTTTGGCTGAAAGCAAAAACTAATGAACCAGTAATTGCTACAATTCTAGTTCTACAATTCGCTTTAAAATAAATGTAGCTATTAACATCAAAATCAACAAATGGTTTTGAACACAAAATATGTTTTTGTCTCACTCATTAAAACACAATGCATTCTTCAAAAGCAACCATTCGCACATCAGTACATAGAAACACAAGCGCATACGGTGCTTTGTTTTTCCATACATTGTGCATTGGCGCGTGCAAAATCAACTCTTTCCATCCAATATTTCAAACATAGCTTTTCCCGAAACAGCTCATAGCAAAATGTTCCTCCATCGGACACAAAGTGCACGTTGGAATTCGAATCTACCACCAGGGGGAACCAGTAGCGCGGAGTTCCCGAATCCTCTTCTCCGGGATGATCAGGGAAATAGTTTATTTGTAGTCATGGAAACAAAGGGAAAAAGTCAAGGAAGGAATCTTGAAATAGCCATCATAAAAACTTTTTCCTTTTTTGGAGTGGACTGTTGCTGCTCCGCATTTCCGGTGGTAATTGATTGAAAGTGATTAAAAATTCTACAACAGTCTTTCGAAACACAATCGCAACTCTTCTCTTTCATTTATTGTTTTGATGATTGAAATAAATGTGGAAATTGTGGCAATAATTAATTAATGAGCGGCTTCACGCTATTTTGTAAAAGAAAAAACAGTATTTCGTCTTTAATTAAAATCGCGAAGACGAAATTTAAAGAGGTTATATTAAATTTGATAAATATAAATGATAGAAATTCAACGAAGTAATTATAAGAATTTATTAATTTGTTTTGTTTTTTATAGAAAATATTTTTTTTAAATATGTTTGGACTTCATTTTTATAGATTATTAAACTGTTAATATTTTAATTTAAAACTGCTTTCATAGTTTTCAGTATGATCAGTATGATTGTTAAAAATTATTTCTACGAAATCATTTTATTATGAAAAAACGAGTAAGAAAGGCATTCTTAATTCTAAAATTTTTTTAGTTATAATGTAATTTCTGAAATTATTTATGCTGTTATAGGCAGGAATAAATTTAAAATGCGCTAAATTCTGAAGTTATTAAACATTTATATGTTTCGTATAGCGCAATTTCTTTACTAATTAACTAAAAAATTTAAATTTTCTTGTTTAATATTTTGAAACTATCGGGTTGTTCGGAAAGTAATTTCGTTTTTTGGTTAAATGTATTTTTTCGTACCCACCTTCACGCTTAAGCCGCATTATCATTATATGTTTTGAGAGCTGATGTAGCAAGACTTGTGTGTGATAAAGTTCAATTAATTCTGCGCAGTAGTTTTTGGTTGCCCTTTTAAATATGGAGAGCAATAAGCAGTATTTTCGTCATATTTTACTTTTTCACTAAAGAAAATGCTGTTCATGCCAAAAAAAAAATTAACCGATGTGTATGGAGAAGATGTGTTGACCGTAATGAGAAGATGTGTTGACCGCAGAACTGGTTTGCAAAATTTCGATCCGGCAATTTTGATGTCGAAGATGCACCACGTTCTGGAAGGTCGGTTGAAGCTGATAAAGACATGATAAAGGCATTAGTTGATGCAAATTGGCGAATAACAACGCGTGAGATCGGTGAGAGGTTAAATGTTTTAAATTCAACTGTTTATGACCACTTGAAAGGACTGGGTTTAACATTGAAGCCGTGGGTTCCCCGTGTTCTCACGGAGAGAAATTCATGTCGTCGCGTTGACGTCTGTGATTCGCTTCTCAAACGTCACGAAAATGATCCATTTTTGAAGCGCATCATTGCTGGGGACGAAAAATGGGTTGTCTATAACGATGTCAAACGCAAGAGATCATGGAGCAAAAAAGATAAACCGGCTCAAAGCATTTCGAAAGCCAATATCCATCAAAAAAAGGTGATGCTGTCTATTTGGTGGGATTTTAAAGGAAAAGTTTTTTTTGAGCTTTTACCGGATTACACAACAATGAATTCGGAAGTCTACTGTCGTCAGCTGGACAAACTGAATGATGAACTTCAGCAGAAAAGGCCAGAATTAATCAACAGAACAGGTATAGTGCTCCACCAAGATAATGCGAGATCTCATACAAGTTTGGTCACTCGCCAACAGCTTTTACAGCTTAAATGGGATACACTGCTACACCCACCATATTCACCAGATCTGGCGCCTTCGGATTATTTTTGTTCCGGTCACTGAAAAATTTTTTGGGCTGTGAAACCTTTACTTCAAAGGAAGAGGTCAGAAATCACCTGGATCAGTTTTTTGCCAGCAAAGACCATTAATTTTATGAGCGTGGAATCGTGCTACTACCAGAAAGATGGCAAAAGGTGTTGAACCAGAATGGCTAATACATAATTTGATAAAATATTTATTCATTATACGAAAATTGTCTTTAATTTCCCCCCCCCCCAAAAAAAAGAGGAAATTACTTTCCGAACAACCCAATAATTTTACAGTATCGGGTATGATCAGTATGAATGTTAAAAATTATTTCTACGACATTATTTTATTATGAGAAAACGAATAAAAAAGACATTCTTAATTCTGAATTTTTTTTGTTATAATGTAGTTTTTGCAATTATTTATGTTGCTAAATGATGGAATAAAGTTAAACTGTGCCAAATTTGGATGTTACTAAACATTTATGCATTTCATGTAGCACAATTACTTTCCTAATTTTCTTAAAATTCTAAACAAATAATTTCATTAATTAACTCGTTGTTAACTAGTTATTTTATCAACTAATTATTGACTAAATATTTAATTAATTAAATTACTTAGTTACGCATAAAAATGCATATCTTTTAAAACTGTATAAATAATAAAATGTCTTAGCAATAATAAATAAATATGTACTAAATAATCTAATACAATATTAACCAGTAAACGAAATTTGTTACTGATCAAGAAGATCAGTGCGACAACATACATCAAATAATCTCATACATTACTAATCAGCAACTAAAAGTTTTTCACGTTTACTCAAGTTTATATGGTTAAAAAAATAGTTAAATATTATTAATAATAAAAAAATTCAAGTGGATCTGTAAGTCATGCTATAGTTTGCTATCACAAAACTTTCATTATCGGATAAATGTTTGGAAAGCAAAAGTCAAATCACGAGAGAGTGACTACTTGGTGAAAACAGAAAAATGCATAAAAATTCAGAAAAATACAAATGCGTCTATTAAGAGAACAAAAAGCTTTATTGCTAAAACTGTACAACAAATTCTAAAATGAGCGATTATCAACAGCCGGAATCACTCAAACTTTGAAACATTCCTAGTATTGTTCTAAAGCCTGAAACCGCGCTCCGATTGAACAGCACCTTATTTGTAAAGTCTTACCACTTTATCACAGCTATCAATAAAGATAAATTTTGTCTCAGATTGCAAACATTTGAATTTTTGAAAGATTCTGTAGTAAAATTTAACAGCTAATTTAAAATAATTTTCAAATATTTGCAGCTGGACGTGTTCTATAATATACAAAAGTTTCAATTAAAATATTAAGTATCAATTTAAAGGGTATGTTTTTCAATTAAATATTTTCAATCTAACAGTTTTTGAAACCAAAATAAAGAAAATCGTTTTTGAAAGATGAAAAAACGGTTCGAAATCAATACAAAATTTATATCATATTTTTGCAAATAAATCGTCTATTTATAATAATTAACTAAGCATGAAAAATGACATGAATAAGAATCCACAAGAAAAAACTATTTAAAAGTCCCAAAAAAACGTTTTTTGATGAACTGCGTCTGTATATACTCACGGATTGAATTTTTACATGATTGATTTTGTTGGTTCAAGTTTTGATTGCCAGATTGCGTGTTGTATTTTATAAAGATTACAAAAAAATCCAATTCTACAAACCCATCTATATTTAAAATCAAATCATCCGAAGCAAAAAAAGTTGAGTTGTAAGGAAAAGTTCTTTTTTCCACAGAAAATAGTTTTTTTTTTCTTAGAAGCATCGTTATATATTCAAAAGGTAAAAAGAAAGAAACTTGTTTATTTTCAATGAGATTGTGCCCGCATTCTTTTCATAAAAATACAGTTAGGAAATCTATAGGGAAACGGATTACTTAATACTTAACGTTTTGGGCTAGCAGAAGTATTTTTTTGGAAAAATTTTTTTGGCTGTATTTTTTTATGTTTTATAACTAGTGAACTTTTTATCCAATTTATTATTTTCATGCTGCGGTGAAATCAATATACTAGGTTCAAATACCAAAGTTAATGACGTGGCGAACCTGCAAACTTCCACGTATCCTCAATGTATTCTCTGTAATCTTCTTCCTGAAGTACCGTCATGTGGGGCTACTTTGTGCAGGATTTCGCAGTTTTTGAACTTTGACATGTAAAAAAACTATGTTAATTCAAACTTTAGTAAAATTTATCAATATTATATTCATAACTGGACTCAGGCGAGTTAATTTGATCAATCTTGGCATTATTTGCCTGTAATATTTACAAATAATAAGTCAAAACATACCTTGCACAAAGTAGCCCCCAAGTGGGGCTACTTCGTGCAGTGACAGGAATTCAGTTTAATAATCATGTTTTCAGTAAAATATTGATATAAAATTGTTAAAAAAGTTAATTGTTGACATTTTAATAACAAAAACATCAAGATATGTAAAGATATTAGTTTGATAATAATTTTCTGCGTTAAAATACCATTTTTTATAAAGAATTTTTTCTTAAAAAGAATGTTTATTTCAAGACATTTTAGTTTAATTAAAACAAAAGGAAACCATATACATTTTTGAACATTGAAATGGATGAAATTTAAAAAAAAAAAATTATTACATATTCATTAACATTTATAATATTGATAAATTTGAACATAACATGCTTGAATGAACATGACAGAACTTGCTCTTCAGTTTCTGTCAAAATCACCTAATGTCCTATAAAATATTTTTTTATGTGTTAAATCGTTTGATTAATTCATTAGAAAAATCATTGTAGAAGAAAAAAAATAGTTTACCAGCACTTTTCACGTGACTCTTGTGAATTTTATTAGAGAAAGTATTTCTGCGGATTTTGTACTTCCGAGAAGCTTCTGCAATCGACATACCACCAGCAACTGCTTGCAAGCATTGTTGCAGCTTTTCTAAAGTGTAATCACGATAATTTCTTGTTCCAGGTACTTTTTTATAACGTCTGACAATTTTTCTGTCGAAAAAAAAACGAATGAAACTTTGCACAAAGTAGCCCCACAGTGCATTTTTCTTTCATTTTCCGTTTATTTGTTATTAATTTTCAAATTTTTTAACCCTAACATGATATAAT